AAACTGAACAACTTTTGCCCCAGGGCCACATCGAAATTCTTCACCAACTTCAGAATAAAAAATATATTTTTTAAATAATTCTTTTTTGTTTTCTTTTTTTTTTTGGCCCGGCCGGGCAAGTGACCCCGGGCCACTCTGGTAGCCTAGATAGTGACCATGAGATGGCGTTTTCTCGAAATGTATCGTCCACCTCTTAATGCCGAGAAATGTATAGTGACCATGAGATGGCGTTTTCTCGAAATGTATCGTCCACCTCTTCTATGGACATCTCATGGTCACTATACATTTCTCGGCGTTTAGTCTAAAAATAGATCAAGTGCATCATCTGTGCGTTCTGATTGGTTTAATATCTGCTCCTTGATCCATCGGACCACATACTAAAAAAAAAAAAAAAAAAAAAAAAAAAAAAAAAAAAACTGATTTTCCTCCCGCTGGTGCAATCTTTCTGCTGTCGTGCTGATCGGTTTAATACCTGCTCCGTGGTCCATCCGACCACATATTAAAAAAAAAAGAAAAAAAAAGAACTGTTACTCCTCCCGCTGGTGTGATCTTTCTGCTGTCATCCTGCTCTCTCATTTTCGAGTAGTTCAGATAACAACAAATTAGTAAATTACCTCTTTTCATTTTGTCCTGGGCAGCCTTGCTACATGTAACCGAGCAGGTTACTTTGGGAACAGGACGAAGGGGAACACGTTGTGAGGTCGGACTCGCACCCAGCAGCAGGGCTGACGACGGTCGTTTGGCAGTCCCGCTCATGTATATTATTGCTTTCCTGCTCAGTCAATCCCCTGGTCGATCAATGGTGGCAGGGAACCTGTGTGTTCGGTCGTCTAATTGTTCATTTGGACGCGCTGGAACCGCCTTCCAGTAGGTGTAAGTTCATAACTCCCCACCGATAGATAGATCGATTGGAGCAACGTGGCAATCTGCTAGAAGGGCGCTTGCGCTGGGGCCGTCTTTTCCCATCCTCCTCCTCCTCTTAGTCCGGAGGCCTTTCCCTTACCAAGGGRATGCTCTACCACCTGAGCTACGTGGGCTCACGGGGAAATTGTAAACTATCGGACTTGAACCGATAACTTCATACTTGCAAAACATGCGTTCTACCACTTGGGGCCACTTGGACTACGCCCACGACGGAACGGAGGAAATGGGATTTGAGCCCATGATACAATCTTGTTGTATGTTGATTTAGCAAACCAATGCCTTCGGCCAGTCTTTTTTTTTTTTTTTTTTTTTTTGTGTCCCATCCTCGTAGCTATTCAGAAGATGGATTCATATGGATTTTTTTTTCTCTCCTCCAAGCTGTACGTGCGCCTTTCATTGCATTTGTCTCTCCAAGTAAATCTTACAAAAACTTGTTTCCACATGTAAGGCTGCCTCTCTGTTTTTCTTATAAAGCCGTCCATCCCGGCAGTTTGTACGAGAACCGTCCAAATTGAGGGCTTATCTGTTGGGTTGCTCCATCCATTTTACTCCAAATTGAGGGCTTATCTGTTGGGTTGCTCAATCCATTTTACTCCAAATTGAGGGCTTATCTGTTGGGTTGCTCAATCCATTTTACTCCAAATTGAGGGCTTATCTGTTGGGTTGCTCCATCCATTTTACTCCAAATTGAGGGCTTATCTGTTGGGTTGCTCAATCCATTTTACTCCAAATTGAGGGCTTATCTGTTGGGTTGCAACATCCAAGTTGATCCAACGTCCGATTGTCGAGTGTGTTGTGCACATGTAAAGCTTTCTTCAACATTCCGCGATAACCAAACCCCCAAATGCCAACGTCCCCGCTTCAACATTCCGCTTAAATGA